CGGGGCGGGCGGGGGGACGCGACCGCGGCACTCCACCGGCCGGCCCGCGGCCCGGTCGGCGTCCTCCGCCAAGTCCGCCCAAACCACCCGCCCGGGAGGTCCAGGGGATGGGAGGGGAGGGGCCGGCGGGGAGGAGGGAGCGGCAGGGGTGGCGGAGGCCACGACGGAGGGGGACACCGGTGGCGAGGGAGGCTCGGCGGGCGAGACGACCAGCGGGGCGGCGGAGGCGCCCGAGTCGCCAGAGCCCGTGCCGTGTTAAATTTAACCACATCTCTAACCTATCCTCTATCCGTCAGAGGAGGATACCGTCGAGTATCTCTAGTGGAGGATAATTATCCTTCTCTAATGATGGCCAGACCTAACTGATCCCCTATAATCAGAGGAAAATATTTTTATTTTTTGTTCTTTTTGCCTAGCCGCATTGTATACTGCATCATCAATCATTTGAATATTTTAAAATAAACATGCATAACATATAAACCACGAACACACATATACTTGCACGGATTGAGCAATTCAAATTAGGACATGCAAATGTCATTCGAAAGGCGTCACATCGATCAAGTTTAATCCAAATTCACCACAACATAGCATGTTTTATGTCGCGGATCGAGCCCAACCAAAGGCATGTTACACGAACTCAAACACAATCCTCGCCAAAGAAATCATGATCGCCTCCATCATAACCCCACATTACCACCATCTACACGAACACCACCACCACCATTCACAATGTTATTGTAGTACTCGGCAATCCTCCCCCAAAACCTGTGCTTTGATTGATCTGTTCCAACCGATGCATCACGAGAGATGTTCATCCAAGCGTAACACAAAGCTACATCTTCATCTTGGGAATAATTGTTTTCCTTACTCTTGATGGTGGCTTCACGGTTGATTTGTGTCTCCATGAGATCATCAACCTCTTTGGCCTCATCCAATTCGGCCTCGGCCTCCTCCACTTTGGTCTCGGCCTCCTCTTCGACCTCTTGATGATCGAACTCTTAGTCATAGTTGAGATTGTCAAGCCCAAGCATATTCGACTCCTCCAAAGACGACAAGAATTCAACCGCATTCATCTCCGCACCACGACAACAACAACAACAACAAAAATCTTCATCACCCTATGGCCGCAAGCAATACCAAAAAATGCACCGACCGAGATGAAAAGACATTTTTTTTACCTTGATGGCATTTCATCGACCACTTGGCAACCACGGCCCTTGTTGTCGGCAGCGGCGGCCAGATGCGCCACAGGAGTGCCCATAGGGGTGATCGGAAACGAGGTCCAAGGTGCCGGACGAGGATGAGGCATCGGAGCCACCTTCTTGTCCTTCTTCTTCGCCACCTCCTCGGCGAGTGCCGACGCGGCGGTCGTCTGCTTCCTTGCTCGCTTGCCGGTGGCTGGACCAGCGAGATGGCAGCCTGCCATCGCCGGAGATGTGGTGACCTTGCTACCGGTGGTGGTTGCCGGTGAGGTGGCCCGAAGAAGGTTTTTGGTGCCCAACCTTTTATGACGTGGGCGGCGGCGCGGTAGTCGTTTCTGGCAACGATGCGCCGCCGACGATGGCAGCTGACGGGGTGGTGGAAGGGTCTTGTCTCTCCATCCCAGCCAAAATCAGGGGCATCAGCGATGGCTGCGACGAGTAGGGGCGGCGCCGGCGGGAAGGGGTGGCCGCTCGGGCGAGAGGAGGGAAAGAAAATTTACTTCGCATGGCCAAGGTCAAGTATATTTGGGAGACTTGGCCAAAGTTTTGGGCCAAGGAGGATAATTTTTCCTCCCCTAACGGTTTGGGGTTAGGTCCAATTAGCCGCTTATTATCCTCCACTAAAGGATTATAGGAGATCGGTTAGAGATACTCTTAGGAGTTAAATTATAAGGGATCGGCTAGAGATGCTCTCGCACCTCAGTTACTAATATGACCAAGCAAATTTTTCGGTAAAAAAATTCACCGTAGTTTCTTCCAAAGAAGAAAAAAAATCACTAAGAAATTTGTTTTATATAAAAAAATATTGCAATCTTAAATGTGATGAACTCATCCCGCAAAAAATGAAGTGTGATGAACTCATGATGCCTACGATGATTCTCATCAACATGGATTTTGTTTAGCACGGCCACTCCTCAGTCCTCACGCATGCTTGAACATCTTCATGCTCAGCCAATGCAGGTACACAGCCACGACTATGACGGGGACCGTCAGGGGCACAAGCAAGCAGTAATACCTGGAAAACAATGGACAGATCAGGCGGAGCAATAACGCGGCAATCTCAAAACGAAAGCGAAGCAGTGCTCCAGGTGAGGCGAGAGATACCACTGATGGTGTACCTGTCGTTCTGAACGGCGAGCAGGAACCAGTTGTCGGACGGCGCGAGGGCCTTGGACCAGACGGCGACGTAGAGGAAGCCGGCGAGGAGCGCGACGCCGAGCGCGACGAAGGCGGACCCCGTTACAAGGTTCGCAGGGAGAGGCATGGCTCCGGTCGATCGATCTATCTGAATCTGAAAGAGCAATGAAGTGAAGGAAGGAAATGTGTCTTCTGAGGCATTGCGCCGAACAGCTTGCGTGCGTTTAGACAGGGGAGGGAGGGGAGGACGAGCTTGACGCGGCAACAAACCTGCGCGGGGGCGGCCGGAGAGCAGCGGCGGCAGCAGCTCGTCGGTCTATCGCTGGCGCTCTCGGCCGCGGGTCCAGAAAAGTAGTAAAAGGGAATCACCGTCAGCGGCCGCCGCTCCCCAACGCCGAGGTCACGCCGCACGCCGGCCGTCGTCTGCCGCGTTCTTCTATTTCAGGTGAAACCCCTATCTCATCTACTCCATACATGCGCGGGCGCTATAAACGATGCCTAGGACAACCGAGCAAAGCACGTAGCCCAGCCTTCATAAACTTGGTAAAAACAGGACACGGTTTGTTCTCTCATACTCGAATCATCTGTGCATAGGCCAACTCGATCAAACTCCCAAAAGGCCAACACAGTTAACATTGCCCGGCCCATGCTCATCTCGTTGAGCAAACGATGTAGAAACACCGCAGCTCAGCTTGACTGAACCTGAACCTATAGCTGACACTGGTACCAAACATCACACACTGCACTGCACACATAGACATAGGGGAGCACACCACAGAAATGGTCCTCAAGTCATGTAGTACGTCAAGGCTCAGACGTTCAAGACACAGTAGTACAATACAACAAGGATCTAGAACTTCATCATAATCAAAAGGTCCTCATAGATCAAAGGCTCGCGAGCTTCGAACTTGTCTGACTGACAGCCCTATCTGTAGGCCGCTACTTCATCCCTTAACAGAGAGATGAGATCGTCGACGCTCATTTTGGAGCGTTCCGGCTTATCTCTCACCCTGACGTCTACCTGCAATAGTAGGAGCCATCCATCCACATAATTCAGAATTTCGTACAAGGCGTAACTAATGCTTTTATCGACAACAGTGGGTGTGAAGAAGCCAAACCATTTCAGATTCCACCTCTTTTGGGCCCACGCCAAGAATATAGTTGAACTTGGCTAACTGTGCCTCGCATACCTGAAAATGAAACCGGCCATAACGATACACGAACTATTATGTTTTGAGATCTGCACAAGCTGTATTTACTTAAACTACCAGAGATATAAAAAAGATATGAAGTTGCACAGTAAATAAATGCCTAAAAGAGATGGACAGTCCATGAGATCCAACAATAAAACTACTACACCACATAACTGCGACTACCTTTCTGCCACTGAAATGCTGAAATAAATTGTAATTAAAAAATACTAATAAAGAAAGAAGGAAATAATTTGTGCAAAAGGCGTGGTACAGGCCTGGCGTGGTAGAATTACCTTCTTATCCATTGTCTTATCAGCCAAGTTGATTTCAACATCAAATCCAGCCTTATGTATCTTAGCATGAACCTGGGCAACAGAAGTGGACTGTCATTCAACTCAAAAGAAAAATAACTCTGCTGATTGATTACCACGAGAACCAGCTAAGATACTGACAAACTGCTAAACATACCGAATGGAAAAACAGTCACCAACAGATTTCAAACTAATACACAAGGGCCATTTACCTGTTTTGCATATTCTAGTGAATCGGACGATATAGAGCAAACAATGGCTTGACGAGGGCTGAGCCATAACGGCCATTTACCGCAGTAATGCTCCAAAAGAATGGCAAACATCCTTTCAACCGATCCTAGGATTGCCCTATGTATGATTACAGGCCTCTCATGCTTGGCTTTCTCCTCTGCTGCATAAGTCAGCTCGAAGCGAACAGGCAGCGCAAAATCCAGCTGTAACAGGCATTAAAGGTTAGAAAAATATTGTCTACAGTTTATGCCAACATACATAAGGACTATAGAACCTGAAGTGTTGCACACTGGAATTTTCTTTTGAGGGCATCAAACACACCGATATCAATTTTTGGGCCATAGAAAGCACCATCTCCTTCATTAATCTGCACACCAACATCTAAATTAGTAATCTGATTGAAGGTCCAACAAGCAGTCAGGTCCAAGCAGTTTCTTGGTATAGGGATATAGCACTTAGAAATTATTGTGAGGCAGATACAAATTGGAATTTCAACCATAATAAGAATTAAAAGATACACAGATATTCAAATTAGTAACTGTGGAACTAAATACAACATGTATGCCAGAGTGAAATATGTTGATGCTCATCAGATGCCAATCGCTTGTATAAAGCATATCATTATTTAATCGTAGAGTATAACTTAATTGATTAAGAAATCAACATTGACAAGCCAAAGCATAATAATGTGATCACAGAAAATATTTTGGGGGCATGAAATCACGGCAGTGGTCGAATGCAGGTATAATTAGAAATTATAGAATAATTTAGTGAAAAGTCCCCCTTTTCCTATACTGGAAATACTAGATGCTGAACATCTAGCAGCACAGAGTGATGCGAACATTAAGGGAAAATGACCCTTAAAGTTACCTTCCATGGCTTCCCAAACTCATCCAAGGCTTCTGCCAGTTGTTGTTCTGCTTTGTTCCAGGTTTCAATATCACCTAAATACTTCTCTGGTCTCTAGAAAAAACAAATGTAAGATGTCAAGATTATTGATCAATCAATAATCTACAATAATTATTAGATTTAAATGTTGTTATGTAAATTTATTAACTAGGTACATGTAGAAATAGGATAGGCCATGTGGCCCAAGTTTTCTAGATACATAACTATGATAGCAGATAAGAATTCCACAAACAAGAAAATTAATTAAAATAATTCCACACACATAATATGGGAGAAATAAATTAGTGTCTCGGCCATTTTGAAGTTTATAAAATATATATAGATCTAAAGTTCCAAATAGTTTGTAGATGCTCCCAAAATATAGATAAGATTATATGATTACCGTGGATAACTCCAACTCGTAGTTAAACCCAAATATGCCGTAGACATAATTAATGAATTCCAAGACACTCTTAACTTCCTCTTTGATCTACAACAAAGAAATAACTTCTATTTAAACGTAGGCAGTGATACAACCTGAGAGAAATATCTAATCTAAATCCAAGCCACAGTGAAACTACTGTAAATAAAGAGTCATAACAAACACTTTTATGTGGGGAATATGCAAAAGAACTGGAATTTGCTGGAAATGGCATACACAGATTACAATCTCCACTAAGAAATTTACCTTTCTTAAATAATACTCCCTCCGTCCCAAAAGAAGTGTCCCTGATTTAGTACAACTTTGTACTAACTTTGTAATAAATCAGCCATACTTATTTTGTGATGGAGGGAGTAGAACTAACAAAAATGCATGGTCTATGTCTACCAAACTTACTTGGCTCTCTCTGCAAAAAATATGGGCATCATCCTGCAGGAATGATATAAAAATGATTAAATAATGGAATAAATAAAATTGTAAGACGCTAACTGGAAATTAATTTTTGTGAAACTAGCAACTCAAGGGATAGCTTTAAGCCTTACCTGTTGGAATCTTCTAACGCGTATCAAACCTGAAAGTGCTCCACTAGCCTCGTTTCCGTGAAGAACTCCAAAATCAGCAATGCGCAGTGGCAACTCTGTAGCATATTCAATCAGGAATTCAGGATTAATAACGAAGGAGTAAATATACAGCATAATTAAAATTAGAGAAGGAGCTCACCTCTGTAAGAACGACTCTCGTGCTTAAATATTATGCAATGCCCAGGGCAATTCATTGGCTTAAGACCAAACTCCTCTCCATCGATCTGCACAATAATAAAACAAATAAGCACCCTTAGATACTACAAATACGCGCACATATAAGTCAACAGAAGTTACAGTTGCACAACAGTCTCTAACTTGATGGTGATATATTCTGTGACTTGTGCAAAACAAATCTCCTGTCATACTTACAATTACGTTATACTTCCTCCGATCCTTGTTAATAGTCGCTGATTTAGTACAAATTTGTATTAAATCAGCGACAATTAATATGGATCGGAGGGAGTAACATTTTACATGCATGTGCCGTTATGTGGGCACAGAACTACAGAGAAAGAGGCCACCAGGGCGTCACTACTGCAAAAACCCTTATAGCTGAAGCCCGCCCGTCACTTGTATGCAAGTACCAGTGACGGATTACTAGTGACGGGTTGGCCTGCTCTACACTATGGGCATTTCGGGCCTGTTACTAGTAACCGTTCTGTAGTAGTGCGTGTGCACGAGAGAGCTGATGGTGGCAAGTCGAGCTGGAGATAAGCTGTGGCTTCTATTTTATTGACCTGTGTTCTTTCAGTTAGTAATGTGGTTTAATTAGAAGCCTCTTATCAAATATTTCAAGAAGTTTCCTCTTATTGTGATAGTTTCTAGATTGTTAGATCTGGTTTTGATTTTGACACCTCTCCCTGTAAAGGGGACTTGGCCAGATGAATAAAGCAAGCAAGAAAACCCGATATCCATCTTCCAGTTCCTTCTATTACCCGATACCGCCTTCCATCGAGCACACCTGCGGTAATGTGTTCATACCAGGTGCTTACCTCAAAAGCAAACATGTTCTTCTTGTAGTTCACACTATGCCCAGATGTTTCCCAAAGCTTCATCTTGAGAACAGTTGGACTCTCAACCTAACAAATACACAAGGAACATAAGCAAAGGAAACAGATGTAACTGTCAATGATCTTAAAAGCTATTTACTACTCCCTCTGTAAAGTAATATAAGACGTTTTAGATCACTAGTTGGAGTACCTAACAAATGAACACTTACCTCTTGGTAGCCTCTGTCCCTGTATTGTTGTCGCAAAAAAGCCTTCAATTTGTTAACTATTTTTTTACCATGTGGAAGGAAGAAGCAACTTCCTGGGCTGCACAGGGGTGAAGCTAATCAAAGGTCTAGCACATGACCATGACCCAAAGATGTAAAAGGAATGAAAAATAGTAGTATAAAAAAGAAAAATCTAATCGAGAATGCCAAGGTACCTAAGCGAATCGAAAAAGAAGAGTTTCTGGGACTCCCCCAATAACCT